AGGACCCCAAGATCCCTACCTTCTGGTGTGTGCACACCTTTGCCCAGTTAGTCAATGAAACAGTAATCTATGTGCTTCTGTGAAGGGATTTTGCAAATATAACTAGGGTCTCAAATCAGTTGACCTTAAAATAGGGAGATTACCCTTGGCGGGCCTGACACAATCAGATGAGCCCTTAAACGTGAGGAGTTTCTTTCTTGCAAAGAAGATTTGAAGTATGAGAGAGATTCAATGTGAGGGAGAGTCTCTGTTGCCTACTTTGAAGATGGAGGGGGCCACATAAGAGAAAAATGAAAGCTGCCTCTAGGAGCTGAGAGCAGCCCCTGGCTGACAGCCAGCAAGGAAATGGGGACCTCAGTCATATAACCACAAGGAACTGAATTCTGCCAACAACCTGAATGAGCCTGGAAGTGAACTTTTCCCAGAGCCTCTGGAAAACTCAGCCTTGACTGCAGCCTTGAGTAATACTCTGCGCAGACAGTGCCAGACTTTTGACCTACAGATCTGTGAACTAATAAATGGGTATTGTTTTAAGCTGCTGAGTGTGTGATAATTTATTATGCTGCATTTATTATGCAGCAACAGAAAACTAATACACTTCCAAGTGAACTCTAAGATCCTGTGATACAGTGAATTACTTAATATGGCCCTTTTAGCCATAGTCTTTGTAACTCCCACCAAATGATGGGGTGGGACTATGCAAATATGGTGCTTGTGGCCCACCAAGGATACTGGATAGCTTGACAATAATGTAAATAAGGTGCATGGCATCCTTGTGGGGGTGGGACCATGCAAATACGGTGAATAGAACCCTAATGAGGGGATTGGTCAGTTTTGCCATCCATTCTGCTAGGCTTAAGGGGAGACATGGAGAGAGAAAGAGAGGAGTTGTAACACGGAAGACAGAGAGAGGCAACAGAGGCAGTAGAACCAGGACAGAGAAGAAGAGTTGTAACACTGGAGATAGTGAGAAGCAGTGGCAGAGAAACGGTGGCAGCAGAACAAGGACACCAGCAGGAGATGGCGCAGTGGGCTTCTCAGCCCGTGGAGTGAGAAAGCTGAGTGGCTTCGGACAGGAGGCTTACTAGTGGAGTGGTGTGCCTCCGGACACTTATCAGCAGAGCTAAAAGAGTTTTGTAACACTTGCCCAAGCAGAGCAGAGGCCAGGCCGAGGGGCCAAGGACCACAGAGAGACCTACCTGTGGGCAAGGCTGAGAAGAGGCTGTCCTGATCAAAGAACTGTATCCTGAGTGTTCCTGAACCTGAATCGTAACTTGTTACTTCCCTAATAAGCCCCATAAATGTCAGTGTGGTCTGTGAGTTCTGTGTGGCCATTGCAATGATTTATTGAATGCAGAAGAGAAGTGGAGAGTGCTGTGAGAGGGATGGTGGGTGTCAGAATTGGTAAAAAGGTTGGAGAGAGGAGATATGTCTGACCTCCAACTCATAGCAATCAGCCTTGGGCTGTTGATCTTGATTCTCCTTCCTCCTTGTGAAGTTAAATGAGGAGGTCAGATGCCCCTGTCACACCATTTTTACAGTTGGCATCAGGAATGGGATTTGTTGCAAAGGCTCCAGACTCATGGAAGCATGGGACTTTGTAAGAGAAAGAATGAAGGGATGTGGGAAGTAAAACTTTATTCTTAGATGGTTACCTTTAATTGTTGTTACCTGTAATGGCTGAAAGGAAAGTAAAAGCTGAGGGGAGAAAAGCCCTATCTGAAGTGGCCTGGGGCAAAAGCCAAGTTGATTAAACAAAACCATTGATGGGGGCCAAGGTTAACTGGTTCCACCCACCCAGAGGCCCTAGGCCATATGTATATGAATGGGAAGATAGTCAAGTGTGAAGAAGATGAAGCTGGAATGTTTTAAAAAATGGGTAAGTGTTTATTTGAATGTACTATGGATATTGAATGTTTCTCCTACCTAGTGCTGTAAAGCAGACCTAAATGTATGACGAAAATGAACACTGGATATAATAGATAACAGAGAGTGTGTAACTCCGCCTTCAGCCAATACTTGATTGGATATGTGAAAAGGCGAACTAGGATTTGCCTGAAAGAAACACAGGCTGTTGGTTTGAATGCAGTAACCCTGTGTATAGAGTATTGGGGGATTAGGTTGAAAATCTGAGCCCTACCCAGAATCTTTCCAGTTAGGAAGTTTGCATTTGAAAAGACATACAGACCCACCTAGAACTGCTGAGAGAGCAGGAGATTTGCATTTGAAGGAAGGACCTGCAGACAAAAAAAAAAAGAAAAAAGATTGTTTTGCTTTTTGAATTTCAAGCAAGCAATTTGCCTTTGGATGCATTGAGGCTGGAAAAGTCAGTGCCCATCAGAAGAACCCCCTTCCAGGACTGGAAGTTAAAGGGAGCTGGTGAGTAGACAGCCTGATATGCTCCCTTTGTGGTGGCCACCTGGGTCCACACATGAGTTTAAGTGGGGGAAGTACAGCTGAGTTTGGACATGTTCCATTGGCACACGTTGACCTAGTCCATGGAGACTAGGGATGAGAGAGAGAGAGATAGGGCTGGTTGGTGTGAAGTGTGGAGCCCTGGTGGTGCAGTGGTTAAGAGCTCAGCTGCTAACAAAAAGCTTGGCTGTTTGAATCCACCAGCTGCTCCTTGGAAACCCTATAGAGCAGTTCTGCTCTGTCCTATAGGATAGTTATGAGTTAGAATTGACTCCACAGCAATGGGTTTCACAGGGTGGTCTGAAGTGCAGGTAATTGTGTGGACTCTTGAGCCTACCAGTGGTGCTGGTTGACCTAGCCTATGGGACTAGGGAGGAGAGAGAGAGAGAAGAGGCTGGCCGATCTGAAGTGCCAGGAGGTTTGTGGACTCCCGAGCCTGTGGTTGGTAACCACTGACCTAGCCCACAGGTGCTAGGAATGAGCTGACCAGAACCTGACCTAACGAAGAGAAAGATGTTTGACACCATGAGCTGGTATAGATTGCTGCAATTTGATGACTTGCTCTGGACTGGAATTTGCTTATGGATGCAGACACTCAAAGTTCCAGCTGGAACAGAAGATTCTTCAAGACCAAGGAAGATGCTCATCTCCTCAGAGTACTAATTTGATAGGGCTGGGCAATTTAAACATTGGCTATCTAAAATGGGGGGAGATAAAGGCATGAAGTGGCTGATTTACATGCTTTCGTGGGTGTGCTTACCCTCAAAATGAGGGGGACAAAGGAGGATTCCCCATTGAGTAGATTCCTCTTTTCCTGATAGGTCTGGGGAAGAGAGTGTAGGGGAAGATGCTGATAGGATCATATGATTCAGCTGTGAGTAATGATTGTTGACAGGGTTAATTGTGATTGTAAAAACTGTAATTGTATAAGCAACTACTGTGAAAGAGTAGACAAAGTGGAGGTACTGCTGGACTCGAGTACAGTGGCTGAACATGAAGTTCCTTTAAGGCTTTGCTATGCTGGTACCTAGTGAGGCTCAGAGCAAGGGAATAATCTACTGTCAGTTAAATTTTGTCAGACACCAGAAGGGTCAACAGGAGATGAGCTGTGGAGAATCTGACCAGATCAGATGGACACCTGCAGCAGACCTAAATGGCTGGTACCTGAATAACCTCACCCTGAGGACTCTTTGCCCTACTGAAGGACTAATTGTTAATGACTGTTTTGGACTGATAAAATGATTGGGAGGAGGAAGTTCATCTTCAAGTATGAAAGGGCCAATGGCTAGAAGAGCCAGGGGTGGCCTGTGATGCAGTAAATTACTCAGTATGTCCCTTCTTGCCATATTCTTTGTAACTCCTACCAAATGACTGGGTGGGACTATGCAAATACGGTGCTTGTGGCTCACCAAGGGCATTGGATAGCTTGATAATAATGTAAATAAGGTGCATGGCACCCTTGTGGGGGTGGGGCCATGCAAATAAAGTGTATAGAACCCTAACAAGGGGATTGGTCAGTTTTGCCATCCTTCTAGGCTTAAAGGGAGACATGGAGAGAGAGAGGGAGAGGAGCTGTAACACAAAAGACAGAGAGAGGCAGCAGAACTAGGACAGAGAGGGAGAGCAGTAACACCAGAGACATCGAGAAGCCTCAGCAGAGAAATGGCAGTAGCAGAGGCAGCGGAACCATGAGACCAGCAGGAGACAGGGCAGTGGGCTTCCTGGCCCATGGAGTGAGAAAGCTGAGCACCTTTGGACAGGAGGCTTTCTGGCAGAGTGGGGTACCTCCAGGAACTTGGTGGAGCTAGGGTTGCCAACCCATAGAGCTAGACCTGAGAGCCTTCGGGCTGAGGCTTACTGGTGGAGTGGGGTGCCTCTGGACACTTATCAGCAGAGCTAAAAAGAGTTTTGTAACACTTGCCCAAGCAGGGCAGAGGTCAGGCCAAGGGGCCAAGGGGCCAAGGGCCAGAGAGAGACCTGCCTGTGAGCATGGCTGAGAAGAGGCTGTCCTGATCGAAGAACTGTATTCTGAGCATTCCTGAACCTGAACTGTAACCTGTTACTTCCCTAATAAACCTCATAACTGTGAGTGTGGTCTGTGAGTTTTGTGTGGTCATTGTAATGAATTACTGAACCCAGCAGAGAAGTAGAAAGTGCCATGGGAGGGATAGTTGGTGTCAGAATTGGCAAAAAGGTTGGAGAGAGGAGGTATGTCTGACCTCCGCCTCAGAGGAATCAGCTTGGGCTGTTGATCTTGATTCTCCTTCCACCTTGTGAAGTTAGAGGAAGAGGTCAGATGCCCCTGCCTTGCCATTTTTACAGACACCTGAATAGAGAGCTTCTCTTTGATCTCGTAATCCCCTCACCCCTAACAGGACCCAGAACACAACACTGTTTCTTATTCCTCCTTCCAGCCCCACTATCCAGGAAGGAGAAGGGGAACCCAGCTCCTCATCATTCGGCCCCCACCCACCAACTTCTACTTCCCCTTCCCTTGGGGGCCTCTCAAGGAAGCGGCTCTGCTTGGCTTTCCATAGCTTGTGCCCCACAGGCTCAAGGGGACAGCTTGACCTGTCCTCACTTCCCAGGCCTCAGAAACCTTTGACCAGCTGTATTGATCTGGACTCCTGAACAGGCAGTTGGACCAACAGAGAGACGCCATGAGGGCTCTCCTGCTTTTAGGGTCCCTGCTGGTGAGCCTGAAGTCAGTGCTTTCGGTAAGGGTTGTGGGAAGCAGGAAGACTGTGCTAGAATGGCCTGGGGGTGGGGGTCCCTCTTCCCTCTTGCCAGTCTTGGCCTTTGGCCATGACCTATTGGCCCAGTTGTGGAAAGGTGAGGCCAGCTGAGAAGGCCCAGGCAGGGGAAATAGACAACCAGAGATGGTGGATATGAGGGCATGAATTTCTGCCGGGAGGAGACCTTGACGAGACAATGAGAGGAGGAAGAAATGGTCTCAGATCTTGGGAGGAAATCTCTCTATTTCTGGGCAGTGAGAAGAAGTTAGCAACTAGCTTGGGATCAGGGACAGGCTATGACTTTCTGGGCAAATTCCCTGCCCTCTTATTACCCCCTGTAGACTCCACCTTGGAAAGTCCCCAAGGAGCACAAGCACATGGCTGGCGAACACACAGTGGGTAAGTAGCCTGACTCTGCGTCCCAACCCCCTTGGGTGGGGATAGAATGGTAAGGAGTGTGCAGAGGGAGTCTTGGGCCTGTCAGATAAGGGGGGCATACTGGACACTCAGCCAGAAGTGTCTGGCTAGCATTCAGACCTGAGTACCTATTCTGTGCCAGGTCTGTGTCCATGGCCAGCAGGGACCCAGGGTGATACTGAGCTGAGTGCTCCTTGAGGCCAGGGGTTGGACTGTATCTGAGTGCCCAGTCCAAAGCCTGGCACAAGCAGGTGTTTTGGGGGCATGCTGGCTGAAGCCCTCATACCTGGGCTCCTGAAGGTCTTCATTCTCCCAGCCTCCTGCTCTCGTTTTCTTTCCTTGATACATCTTTCGGGCATCTGTCATGCCACACAGGTCCCATGATGGGAAACGAAGGATCAAGAGCTGGGCTCTGGAGCCCAAATGCCTTTGAATCCTGGCTTCCTCACTTATGAGCTGAGTGACTTTGGGCGAGTGACTTAACCTCTCCTAGCTTCAAGTTCCCCATCTGTAAAACCAGCATGATAACAGTAAATCTACAGGGTTGTTTAAAACAAGGGGTCATCAATCCATGTAAGGCCCTCAGCCCAGAGCCTGGTGCATGATGAACACTTCTAACATACTAGTATTTGTTGTGTTGAGAATATACACAGCAGAACATATACCAATTCAATAATTTCTACATGAACAATTCAGTGACACTGATTACATTCTTTGAGTTGTGCAACCATTCTCGCCCTCCTTTTCCAAGTTGTTCCTCCTCCATTAATATGAACTCACTGCCCTCTAAGGTTCCTATCTAATCTTTCAGTTGCTGTTGTCAGTTTGATCCCATAGACATAGATCTTAAAAGAGCACAGTGCTCAAGGCAGAAATTCTTTACTAGTTAAGCTAAACTATTGTTTGGTTTTAAGAAGACTTCAGGGGTATTTTTGGTCTAACATATTAGCTTTTATTATTAAGTTCCTTTTTAGATGGGGGCAGGGTGAGGGGAGGAGAGT